TATAATTTTTCAAACTACATAAGGTCTCACTAATACTTGCATTACCAAGGCGTTTATAACTGCAGGTCAAATCAATGCAACTAAGTAGAAATCTTGCTGGCTAGAAAACTAAATGCAAGAACATTTATTCTATGCTACTTGAATTTGAAACAGAAAGAAAATTCTTATAAACATCAGTATTGCAAAGACTTACCTCCTGCTCCATTGATTTGAAAATGCCTTGGAACTCCTTGGCAAGTTCAAGGTTATTTTCCACATATTCAAGCTTTTTCACTGCATCCTAAGGTTAAGAGGCAAGGTTAGAGTTTTGGCAGTAAAATAAATATGTCCTTATAGAATAAAATATCTTGTGAATTATTAGCAACTTTCATTAACACATGAAATAATGTCAAGATTGATAAAACACATGAAATAAACATTGAAAAAAGGGAGTTTTTCCAAGAAATCACCAAAAGTTACTCAAAATAATTTTTGTAATGTCATTCAACCTTCTTGAAAAAGATTGACAATATACCAAGCTGCAAAACTACTAAGATTTTTGGAGCTATCTCAAGACCATTATATTTTTAAGTTTTCAACGCTGGGAAATTTAATCTACCAAGAAGTTTTCATTTGTATATAAAATATACTCTATATCTAGGCAAAGTCAAGCAATAAAATAGGCAGAACTTGAATATATAAGGAAAATACAGAATGATAACAACCTCCTGTTCCTTTTCAACAAGTTCCTGGCCACTCTGAACCTGCTTTGTATAGGTAACCAGTTTAGTCTATAAATCAAACAAATCAAACATAAATTTCACAATATAAATAGAAGCCAGCATTGATCACAAATCAACTGATGCATTAGTAAAACTAGAAGCATTAGTATGGGTGGATATAAGGCACATGATCTGTCCTTTTTGAATGCAAAATTAGATGATTAGCTGAAACTTGAAAACAAGATTGCCATGAATGAGCAATTAAGCAACAAAGATGGAGTCTAATAAGCATCAACCTTAAAGGAACGGGTTTTATAACTGCCCATGACCCTGATAAGCACCCAGGGGCTCAACAGCCCACTCCCGGAATCAAGCATGATGGCCTAAAGTGGTTTAATGAGCATCTAAAACACAGAAAGATATTACCATGAAGCAGAATGTTGTTTTAAAATATTGTTGAACAATCTTAAACCATCTTCACAAATCAAAGCAATACTATGGTTTATAAGATTCGTACAAGAGTTTATAATATTTCTGAATACATGTTCAACTCAATTCTATATCTTGATTCTTCCAAGGCAAGGCCTACCAGAATTCATTTTCAATACCACATAATATCATACCGAAGGCCCAGGGTTGTGGTGCTATGGGAGCTTTCAAAAAGGAGCCAATTTCTTCCTTTGGTACTGTTTTTAGAATATTTTATCTTGCGGAGTGACATAGAGCCCCATTAGTTTCTTACGAGCTTGTTACATGAAGCATCCTCGTTTTTGCTTGGAGCATGGCTCAAAAGCCATGCACTTAACCAAACCAGGTGACATTACCATACAAAGAAATTTATCATATATATTCTATATTTCATATTATATTATATGAAATTATATTATATTATATTATATTATATTATATTATATTATATTAATTATATTATATCATATTATATTATATCATATCATATGATATTATATTATATTATATATATTATATCATATTATATTATATCATATTATATTATATTATATTATATTAATTATATTATATTATATTATATTATATCATATCATATGATATTATATTATATTATATATATTATATCATATTATATTATATCATATTATATTATATTATATTATATTAATTATATTATATTTTAGTGTAACGAGAATTGAGCCTTGTTATGTGCGATTCGTTCACTAATAAAACCATCCATCGACTAACGTGTCATTTCCAACCCAGCGTGTCTTATTTTACGTGCAGAGAACACGGAGCCAGTGAGAGAGACAGTGTGTTGCCTGTGTAACTCTGATGTGAACTGAACTGACTTACATAAAAATTAACATGCTTATATACAGAAATTAATATCTAAAATTAACACTAATGATGTAAGGAAAACAAAGGATAGGTTGGGCTAGGCCCAGTGTGAATAGTTTATGAATTGAGATTTAAGTAGATGTGTAGGGTTAATGAGGGCCTAAACAAAAGAGAGGAAATGTTGACATAGTGATATGTTCGTAGCGTGTAGTGATGAGGTAGTGATGTGAAGAAATTACTGTAGGTAAAATAAACAAAGTAAAAAATGGATGGCGATAGGTGAGGAAAATTAGAATGAATGGAATCACTACAATATTATATATATTATATCATATTATATCATATTACATTCGATTATATCAAATTATATTATATTAAAATAATATTACTTTATTTTTTTTATATATATGTATTATTGAACTATATATATTATTATATCATATATATATATATAATATTATTTAATTATA